ATATTTTACAATGTCTTTTGATGATATTTTATGAAATGTAAAATTTTTTGTACACACATTTACATTTTGTTTAAGTAATGATTCGGCGATGGCAGAAGAATTCAGTGACTTAGTGGTTAAGATCGGAATATCAGTTAAATATTTCTCAAACACCATTGCAACATCCTAATCTGATTCAGTTAATGAAATATAGTAGTATGTATCTAACCCACCATCACAGCCCTCACAAGTCCACACCTCAACCTCGGCCACAATGCCACAAAACACGGTACTGAAGCGGTCTGCATCCACTTTCTGCATGTGTTACCAGGTCGTCAATTGGACGGCCGCTCTAGACTTTGGCTACCATAACGAGGCTGTCACTCAAGAACTTTCTACTCAATAGATTGTCAGTTCTTCATAATGTGCTTTGCCACTTCAGTTTACGAATCCGTTGAATTTTATGTCTGCGGAATACAGGCGTATTCAATTACAACATCATACTAAGCAAAAAACAATTATTTTTATAGTAGGTAGTTTAATAATGTTTAACAAGAAATTTTTAAAAAAAAATCTTTACCACGCTTTCACAGAATACCAGCGTAAAATAGCAGCTTCATGCTACTGTGTGTCGTATGGTGAGTGTAGAGAACCGGAGACCCTTTTTACTTTAAACGAGACATTCGATTTTAGTCGTCCATTTAATTTCTTATCATTTCATTCATTCTTAGGTAGATGTAGATGTCTATGAACCACAGCATCCACTGACCATCAGCTGGACTGTGTGGTCGTTTGTCACACCCTTATTCTATAAAATAAAATTCAATCCACAGATTTGCTTACTTCTGTTTAATTTAAATTAGATTGTATACATATAATGAAGAGGCAACTGGATTGGAAAACAAAATGACATTGGATTGGAAAAACAAAAAAAAAACAAATAGATATTAAAATCAACACGTCAATAAAGGATAGAAATAACTGAATTAAAACGTTAACTCACGATCCTTAGAAATGGTTGCAGCAAATGAAGAGCTAAATAAATACGAGTGCAACATTTATATTAATTGCGTCTTTAGGGTAACCAACTTTCATTTTCAACGTGTATAATATATTATGCGCTCGAAAACTTATTACGTACGTGTACCAGGCTCTTTTACACGTATAGGGATAATATCTAAAGAAAAAGTAATTTGAGAGTGTTGAGATTGTAAGAGTTAATAACCACCGTTAACACCGTTATAGTTAACTTAACATTTTAAAAAGAAAATAAAATAAACAATTTGCTGAGATATGTTGTTTAAATATGAAATAATCTGAATATATTTTTTAAATTTTTAAATAAACTAGTAATTCCTCCCGTTATTTACAGCCGCATTATAAATCATTACATTTTAAATGGTGACCCTAACTTAACAATGTTGCAAGTCATCGTTCTTAGAAACGGAACACCTACGTTCTATCTCATGCCTCTAGATAAATAAATTATGAAAAAATCACAATTTTGAACCTTATATATTCAGTTGAAAGGCCAAAAATGAATGGTGTGCCTATCAAAATCCCAGTATAGATATATCCTCAATGTTGGCGCCAAAATTGACTTGTATTGTCAAAGTGACAGCTTGTTGGGTGGCAACAATTTAGTAATACTTAAAACTTTTCTCTTTAATTTATTATTTCTTAGAAGAGAAAAAAATCAATTTTAGAAGCTAACTTTCAGAAATTATCATTGTTAACATATTTGGTTACAACTGATAAAATCAAATAACTGCCTCTAAGTGGGTGTAAGGTTCTCGAACGCGTAAGGTAAAGACCCTTTTAGCCGTACCCGAAATGTCATATCCCTCGACGACGAGGAACAACAATCATTTAGAAGTAAAACAAATAAGTGGATGACGTACTCGTGTGAAGAGTGCGTGCGAGGAAACACGAAACATTATGCACAAGAAGATTGAAAAGAAAGTACTCGAGAGGAGAGCGTCCAAGCCTCGCCGGAGAGCAATAAGCGACGCCCGTAGTCGGGGCCCGTTCATTAACTCTCGCCTAGGCCATAAATAAGCAAGCGGTGACGCTTCTGAACGTGACAGATGTTTGAGTTGCGAAGTGTCGTGTATTTTTTTTTGAAAGATGTTTCCCCGCACTAGGATTTTCTCCTGTATCGTGGAAGCAGTTTACATACAAAAATTCCAAAAGTACAAACATCCAGGATCCGGAGCAATTATTTGTAGATCTTACAAACGTTTGTTCCGTGCGGGGTTCAAACCCGCGGCCCAGAGCGCTGCAACTCATTGCTAAACAGGCGTAGGACAGTTGCCTTGAACCACAAAACTTTAATGGATGGTGGCGCCATCCATAATTTGTTTCCAAAAATAATTTGTTTATAGTTGGTCTTATGGCTTCACAGATGTCGCTACTTTGGAAAAATAAAATGAAATTTACTTACAAAATAAAAATAAGTGCACCAAAAAATGAAATGATGATATTGATAAAAAATTATCATTTTAACATAAAAACACGTAATAATTATCGAATCAATCGATAAATATGACAATTATGATACTGGCAACCAGCATTTTATAATAAAAAATTAAAATTAAAAATGAGATAATTGTCATATTAAATTGTCATTCCTGTAACATTGCAAATACCCTTTTTATATATTATTATTATCTCACAAATACAAGTGTACTTATTGAAACTATTTACCTACTTTTAATATTAAAAGTATAAATTAGTATTACAAAAAAAGTAGAAATTGTTTCAGTAAGTATGCGAATTAAAGAACATAATAGTTAAATTAATATGATGTACATAATATAGCTATATATAGTGAATTAGTTCGGATTCAATTTGTAGGAGACGCTAGTAGTTCAATTTTGTCTGCAATAAAATATCGTCAGAGGGCTCTCTTTTCCTGTATATACTTATTATACTCTTTGTTGCTAAACCACTGCGGCACAAAGCCGTCAATTATTCGACTGCCGAGCATTCTAAAATCGAAACCTTAAATAATAAATAAGTATGTCTTTTTGAGAAGCTGAAATTCCGTTATTTTGTTAGCAAATATCTAAGAACGCTTTAGAATCAATAATGTGATGTACCAATGTGTTTTCATTTTTAATATTTTCTTTAGAAACATATGAAAACATTACGATATAAATGTAAACACTGTTCGTTGACTGCAATTCCCACGACGGATCTGTCTGTCTGTCATCCGCAGACAGAGTTTCTACTGTAAACATAGAAATCAAACGCTGGTTGCTACATCGAGTCACTCTTGTTATTGTAACGGATCTCATAAATGTATCGAAAACAAAATGGTGGATATTTATACTCAAATGTATCGCTATTATATAAACAAAATGGCGGATATTTAAGCGGGAGTTTTCATAGCGAAACGGCGTGAAACTCCGGTCCGGGGTGGAGGGGAACACATCCATTTCAAAGAATAAACACGGAGGAAACTCTCTCGATGTATAAATAATAAATAAAGAGTATATTTTGCTGCGTTTAGAGCGCTCGTAGACAAAGGCTGCCCGCTCCGTGGGGCAAACATCGCATCGCGTTCTATTTATTCTTTCGTCATTAAGGTGGAGTGTTGACTGTAGTGTAGCGTGCTCTAGCGCTAATTTCAGGGAGGTCAGGCGCGTAGGATCTTGACTAAAGTTGAAAAAGTTATATATACGGATTAAGTTTCTCTAGAATAAATGTACGTACTTCTAAGCAATTCGTTTACCTAAATCTATATCTATCAATTCTAAAGCTGTGAGGTGACAAACGTTATATCACAATCGAGTACCTAGTACTGATGAAACAATTAGCAAGGCCTCAGAGTAGACACAATATGTCATACAAAAGTATAGCTGTTTTAACAGCGATGTTTTTTTTGTCGTTTTTATGTTATTTTTAAAGTGGAACCAACTTTAATTCCATTATATTAAAGATATTAAAAACTAATAAACTAAGATCCACGCAATAAAATATAAATAGCAAAATTGAACACTTTGAAAAAACCCTCGACGGATGTAAAAGTTGTAATGTAAAAAGGATTAAACATTTTTTTTTGAAAGATTCCCGACTAAAAGGAAGTACCTAAGTCGCGAAAGATAAAAATAAAAAGCGTTTTAAATATGGTTCATTAGTAGAGAAGTCTGTCATAAATAATAGACAACTATTTAGTTATTACCTCAGTTCTTCCTACCTTTGTGTAACTATCTATTTGTTTGCCGTAGCTATAGACACAGCAATAAAATCAAATAAGCAAGATTATTTTTCAAAGAGTAGCCAAATTTTAAACTTAACTACAAATATATAAATAATGGTATACTGTTACTACATGTGTGCGACTCATTCACAGCTTATCGATCGACCCTTACGAATGTGTAGGCGTACTAAAATAACAGACAATCAGTTAAAATAATGCATTACCACGCATTTTGAATTTAAAAGATAAAAAGGACAGAATGTTTGATATATTTTTTTAATTAACTTTTCTTTACTAATTGGCTATATTAATTATTTTGAACCTTCTCTGCAAATTTGGCCGGTTATGACAAAATAATCCTGTATAGGTACAACAAAGATTCACCTACCTATTACATAATATAATTACAAACCCAAGTAAAAAGTAAAGTACGTGTGTGCGTGTGTAAATAAATAAATAAATCCTAAGATATCTGTTGTGCACAAAAGTTACCTTCGGGCAACTTTTTGTTAACTATAGAAATCTGTTTTCTATTGAAGTAAAGTTTCAGCCTATAATACATCCCACTATTAGGCACTAGGATATCTGAGAGCATTATGGAGTAAGCAGTTGGTACGCTGCGCTGCTTCATTGCGTGCTGGCGGACTTAACATCATCGAAAGACTTGATTCCTCAGACATTCCGGTTTCCTCACGATGTTTTCCTTTACCGCAGAGCGCGTTGTAAATTAACACTCAATATTATTGTTAACAATTTCATTCATAACGGCGAGACTAGAGTTATTGCTTACAAAAACTGACCGCTATGTTTGTTGCAGGTCAAGATATGGTTCCAAAACCATCGCTACAAGTGTAAACGGCAGGCGAAAGAAAAGGCAATGGCAGAGCAAAATCAACACAATCAGGTAATCATAGAAATATATCGCATTTTCAACCGACTTCAAAAAAGCAGGCGGTTCTCAATTTTACTATATTTTTATGTGAGAACTTTTTTCGAGGTGAACCGGTTTTGATGTACCTTTTTTGTTGGAAACCTGGTGCTTTTCATCTGGTTTCATATATATTTGATAAAGATCTGACCAGGAGTTTGTGAGTTATCCTTAATAATGCGTATTTAATTTACTTCAACTACATTGGTGATGTTCTCATTTTATTTATATTGAAGTCGGTTGTACAACATTTTTAATTTTACTACTTGTCTGTCTTTGAAGGCCTATCGATATTCCTATCAATATATAATCTGTACCCGTTTAACAAAGACTATGCTACCACCTATTACCTTGGTAGGTAAGTACTATTTATTTTAGTTATCCGATACTTATAGGTAATTAAGAAAATATTAAGGGGAACTATATATTTGCCAGAGTGCCAACTGCACCGACTAATGGCAGAAAATCTATCAAAATTATCTCTATGTTTATGTTTTTGCTTTGTAAATTCATTAGTAGATATTTCAGAATGGGTTGAAAATATTACTAGAAAATATAGAATAACTTTCGTAAAATATAGACGCTACAAATTTTCCGTTAAAGTTTTTTTTTCCTATAAAGTTTCCGTTTTTCAAACCTAAATAGTTCTATTTAAGCGTTATTTACTTCAATATTATGATATTAATAATTGCGTATACCTATAAAATTATTAGAAAAATCTCCACCTCTATTTCGCTTCAGTACAAATCTTTTTAAATTTCAATACCGGTAAATGAATAATGAATATTAAATGCGCGCGATAAAATCATCTGCTGACGGAGCAGCGGGCCCCTTGTTTGGTCGCGACAGACTTTGCCCACTCGATGGCAATCTCCCGACCGATGGGAGAATACGGGCCGCGGAATTTTGCAACCCCACATTTATTTTAATTTCCTCTTGCTCTTAATAGCCTGCAAATATGCGCAGTGGAACTGGAACTAATAAATATAGAATGAATAAAAAATATTCATTCTATATTTATAATCTTTACGCGGTAGAGCCATAATGCAGCTATATTAGTAATATAGTTGTAGCACTAATGGGTCGGCTCGACCGGGGAAGGACCACGATTTCACAGTGAAGAATAACAACGTAAAACAGCAGCTTAATGCTGTTGTGTTTCGTATGGTGAGTGTAGAGAACCGGAGACCCTTTTTTACTGGAAAGGAGGCATTCCATCTTAGTTCTCACGGGTGACAATGCATCTGCATTTTGATTCGTAATCGAAAATAGAAATGTAGATGTCTATGGGCCACAGCAACCACTTACCATCAGGTGGACTGTGTGCTCGTTTGTCACCCTTATACTATTTATAAAAAAAATTTATAAGTTGCGTTTACGAGTATGTCACAAATACACTATTAAACGTTTTTTTGTAAGTCAAACATAGATTATATCATAAAGTTTTAGCTATATTTAGAAAGAAAGAAATTATTGTCACTCCAATGCCTACCATTACATTAGAAGAACTTTATTAAGGGTGACCATACTAAAGAAGAAGAAAAAGAAGACTGTTTAAGAATAAAATATTATTATGACGGCTCCGTGGCGCAGTGGCTTATCAATGAGTTGTTGCGCTGGGTGCCGCGGGTTCGAATCCCGCACGGAACAAGTATTTGTATGGCCTACAAATAATTGTTCCGGGTCTGGATGTTTGTCCTCGTGCAATTATGTTTGTAAACTTTCGCTGTTCGTACCATCTGTATGCTGATGACTTACAAATTTATGCTCAAGCTGAGGTGGCATGTATCGATGATGTGATTGAGAAGCTCAACTGTGATCTCAATTGTATTTCTAATTGGTCAAACAGATTTGGCATTAGGGTTAATCCATCAAAATGTCAGGCTATTGTAGTTGGTAGTTCTCGTAGACTGACTAAAATTGATATGAAGGCGTTACCTCCCATTATATTTAATAATGTTATTGTTCCTTACTCAACAACTGTTAAAAACCTTGGCTTAATTATAGACAACACCCTCAGCTGGCGACCGCATATATATGAAGTGAGCAAAAAGGTCACTAACACTCTGCGTCATCTGTATCGTCTCAAGAATTTTTTACCGTTAGGGACTAAGGCAATGCTAATACAGACTTTAGTGTTGCCTATTCTGGATTATGCAGATGTTTGCTATGCTGATGCCTCGCAAGAACTTCTAAACAAACTGGATCGACTTCACAATAATTGCATACGCTTCATTTTCGGTTTACGTAAATACGACCACATTTCCTCTTATATTTCTCAGCTAAAATGGCTACCTCTCCGCTATCGCAGACATTTCAGAATACTGTGCACGTTATTTTCAGTTTTACACGATCCGTTTGTGCCTGAATATCTGAAATGCAAATTTCAGTATCAAGGTGATACCCATAATCGTTGTCTCCGTTCTACGGAAAAATCTAACCTCCATGTTCCCCTCTGTCACACTAGCTTTTTACACAAATCTTTTACTTCTCATGCGGTAAGATTATGGAACGAGTTACCGGGCAGTGTACGCGCAGCCACGAGCAAGGCATCGTTCAAACGCTTGCTCTGGAATTACTACCTAACGTTGCAGGAGTAGTTTGTGGTTTTCCATTTCATTTTTACATTTGTTATTGGAGTTTGAATCAGAAACTGCCATATTTAATTATGTATATATATGTATAATAAGTAGTATGTGTATAATAAGTAGTAGTAAGTAAATATTTGTATGTATGTATTTATATATATTTATGTATATATATATATATATATATATATATATATATATATATATATATATATATATGTATATATACTGTATGTATTATATAGACATAAATGTTATTTACTTAGCTGTTTGCACTTTGCACCCACAATATTTTCTCTGCTTAGCCTGGAGGTAGACTGGTAGAGAATGCCCTGTTGCATTAAGTCCCCCTTTTTGTACTTGGTGTGCAAATAAAGCATAAATAAATAAATAAATAAATAAACTGCCTCCACGATACAGGAGAAAATCCTAGTGTGGGGGTAATGTTTTTTAAATAAAAAAAGATTATAAAAGTGACTTTCAAACTAATAAACTAGTTTAGTAGGTGGTAGGACTCCTATTATGTCTAGGGTTCCGTCTAGAATTATACGGTGGAGAGGCCGTTAGCATTTGTGCAATTAACAAATCACTAAAGCCTCTAATTAGTATAGGTACTACTGGAAATGGATCTCGCTCATGGAACTTTTTTATCGTAATTGTCATGCATGGTGAGTGACGGATTCTCGATCGCAGTAACACGTCTCGCACCTGTATCTCTGATACTCTTCATTAGTATAGTTTTTTTTTTATAGAATAAGGGTGGCAAACGAACACACAGTCCACCTGATTATAAGTGGATACTGTGGCCTATAGACATCCACATCTGTCATTAATTAAGAATCAAAATATAGATGCGTTATCACCTCTGACGACCCTCAGAACTCCTCTACACTCACCATAGGAAACACAGCAGTATTAAGGTGCTATTGGGTATTTTACATATGCGATTATTGAGTCGAATCTTACGACAGCCGTAAGTTATTTGGTGTGACAGCTTCTTTATCAACTCATCACACATTTTTTTATTACTGTATAAAATAAAAGATCTGTAATAACCATGACATCAGCTTTAAAATAAATTTAAATTTTTAAACATGGTAGAGCCATGCTGCGGCTATGTTATGGTTGCAGTACGAATGGGAAAGGACCACCCAAGGATTCTCACAGAGTACCAGTATAAACTGTATCTTATATGGTGAGTTAAAGAATCGGAGACCCCAATGGTACCCAATGGTATACGAATCGGTAACAACGCGTCTACATTTCGATTTTTAATCGAGGTTAGATGTAGATGTCTATGGACTACAGCAAATATTATTATCAGGTGGTGTGTTCGTTTACGGCTTTTTATAGAACAAGGGTGACACATATTCTATAAAAAATGATCCACGAAATAAATGGATCTGATTCTAATTCAGAATCCCAAAAAAAAAATCCTAAAACGCAAATTTATTTATTTATTTTTTTATTTATTTATTCTTTATTGCATTCCTTAACCTAAAAGAATACAAAGGGCGGACTTAATGCCTTGTGGCATTCTCTACCAGTCAACCCATGGAGTGGTGAGAATTTGAAGTAGGTGTAGCAATATAGAATAAAAAGAAAATAGAAATGTATAATTAATTACATTATATATACATATTACTATTATATACAATAAATAAACTATAAAAATATATCCTATTTATACATGTATACAAATATATACGTACATACATAAGCATACATATATTCATACCAACATACATATACAAATAATACATATTAATAACTATAAATATATACGTCTAAAATATAAATGACATGGATGATTCATCTAAGAAGCGTTGTCTTTAACAGATAGATGATTACGCACCAACTTTTTAAAAGCAAATTTAGTGGGAGCTTTTCTGATGTCGTCAGGCAAGGAGTTCCAAAGGCGTGCAGCCTGAACTGTAAAGGAGTTACCATAGAACTCGGTGAAGTGAAGTAAAGTAAATCAAATAGTACTTTATTCATTTATTTTGTTTTATTTTTTAAGAGTGCTGTTAGAATTTAATTAGAACTCAGACGAAGCGTCCAAAGAAGTCTTAATTATAATTGGGGTCCAATCAATAAATTCATTAGGTTGCAAGCGGTGAAAGACGTCGCGGCGTACTCCTAACAATCATAAAGTCAGCGCAACAAGCTACCCGGGCGCTTTTGCACAAATTGAGCCAATCAGTGAAGCTTGGCAACACATGAATTTTAAGAGTAGCCAATGCAGAAATTATTTTATGCATTTTTTTTTATATAATATTATTTTAGTTCTAGATACCTTACAATTTAGGCACTATAAACTAATAATAATTTGTCACAAATAAATTTCGTCTGTATTTAGATTGTAGTCTTATAATTTAGTTTAATTGATTAACGACTCGGTAGAGCAGTGGCGAAGTGTTTCGCAGCAGCGTTGCCGACCGTGGATTCGATTCCCGTACTTCCGACAATTTGTATGGTCTACAAACAACGAGCGATTTTTCGGGACTGATACCACATAGGAACCTTCAAGAAAAGAGCCTATTTTTAATAGGCTGACAACACATCTGCAATTCCCCAGGTGAACCGCATGCTCGTTTGCCCGTTCTTGTGTAAAAAATAAACTTTAGTGGCAATCACTGCGTTATGATTTTTCATTATGATAATTTTTAATATCCTAAAATAAGATATAAATGTAAAAAAGAAGTCGGCGTATGGTCGATACTGATTTTTTTTTACCAGCGAATCCAGCCACGAACTCCACCAGAGTTACACAATTCTCCTGCTGATCTGAATGTTTGGTCATTTGTAACTTATTGTAAGTAAAACGTCTCCACGATACAAGACAAGTTTCCAGCTATTGTTGTTTATTAAAAAAAACCTAAATGAAGATTTCTGTCACAAGTGAAGACTCTTGCACCACTTGTACCTACCTACATAATGTAATTAATTTACTAGTGATGGCAATCGATTGTTGTATTGCTGTTCTTGTCTGATTAACTGAAGTTACCGTGATTATTTAGGAAACATATTTTTTTTATAGGATAGGGTGACAAATGAGCACACAGTCCACCTGATGGTAACTGGTTACTGTGACCCATAGACATCTACATCTATCCTCAATAAAGACTCAAGATGCAGATGCGTTGTCGCTTAATAAATACGAATCCCGGGTCAGCCTAAAGTCAGTTATTAGCTTTTTCTCTCAAGAAATTTTTAGTACTAGTACGAAGTCCGGAAGTTGGCGGTGTTCCCTCCCTCGGCAAGCACGTAAGCCGTTGATCCATGTGCACTATAATCCTGTCCTGTGCTGATGGCGAGTCCCAGTTGTGACTGGCGGCCGCTTTTTTTATAGGATAAGGGTGACAAACGAGCACACAGTCCACCTGATGGTGTGGTTTCACACGTGAGGACTAAGATGGAATGTCTCGTTTTCAGTAAAAAGGGTCCCCGGTTCTCCACACTCAACATACGAAACACAGTAGCGTTAAGCTGCTATTTTACGATGGTATTATGTAAGAATATGATGCTGGTATTCCGTGACCGAGATTCGATGTAGAGGATATTATTTGATGCACGAGGATTAATAATAACTTCTCCATTTATTCCCAAGACTATTTTATAAGAAAATTCAAATTTCAAATATCATGTTGATTTTCAATCATCTACCGATGATTTTTGGGTAAAACGACTGATAAACGACAGACCGACCATTACACTAAAAAGTTTTTGACAAACATAACCTTAACCATTTGTTCTACAGTCATCGTCGTCACCGAGACGAGTGGCTGTCCCGGTCCTGGTGAAGGACGGGAAGCCGTGCGGGTCTGGTGAGTCATCGTCTCCGGCACACAGTCACTGCGCTACCCCGACCTCTGGGTACAGTGCGCCCCAGCCGTCGCAGGCGGCCTGCAGTAACCCGCTAGTGTCGTCCTACCGTCAACCTACCGCCTACCAGCAGCAGTGCTCCGGCTATCTCCCGCTACAGGGTAGGGCCTGGTAGAAATTCCCACAGCTTTACCACGAGACAATGTTCAAGGAGGAGATGTACTTCGATTAAACTCTATGAAGCCATGGTTTGAATTGTAAATATATATTAAAATAAATTGTACACAGCACCGACTTGTTGGTATTGTGTAAGTTATTTGTTGGTAACATTAAAAATGAATATCAAACCTTAAATCTAGTTAATCGCTTGTTTTTTTTAATCGATAGATAAAAAAATTAACTGCCAGTATGATTTGCTTTGATATATTATTTACTTTTTAATTTCATATGGCTGTTATGATTTTTAAATAATCTCTTCTATACATCTATATATCTATATATAAATAATAAATCTGAAGAAAAAATGTGTGTTCACGATTCACGCAAGAGAACCACTGGACAGATTTCCGTAAAATTGTGTTAGACAGTAAATGACCGTGTATAACATATAGGAAATTTTTTATCCGCTTACGGAAGAGTAAAAAAGAACTATGTTTTTACTTTTTTAGTCTTTTATCATTATGGCTGCTGATGGTTCTATTAATCCTAAAGAAGATTTAGCTATACGTATAATAAATCTATACAAAAAAGTGTGTGTGTGTGAAAATAAACCCATCGTGCCACCAACCAGAAAGGACAGAATAACGTCTGGCTGGCCAGCTAGTTTTTTATTTTTATATAAAATTCAAACCAGTAAATGGCATATTTAATCCTACGAGAACATTGTCACTGGTAAAGCGATGCTGCATGCAGCTAATAAAAAATGTGACGTTTATGGTTCTAATAGTGATGAAGTGAAGTGAATTGGATAATATGGATATCGTGCACTGCGACTTTCGGGAGGAGGTTATTGTGTATATATTTAGCAATAGTTAAAAGCACAGTTACGGATTTGACTTTATTATTTTTGTAACGTTCCGTTTTACAACATACAGTAAAAGTAATTCTAAATTAGAGTGTTTTTGAATCATTTAGGATTTTGCTACTGCTGTTTTTATATTTTAAAGGGATTAACAAATTAAGTGTCAAATAGAAATGCATATATGAGTAGCGTAGTGGGGTGAAAACTTACTTTTCACTAAAACTTCAGACCAATAAAAAAAAATAGAACATTTCGTAAATAGTGATGACGAAATCATGGTCAACTGCGTGATACGCATGCAGGCACACGTCTTTCTTCTTTCTTCCTTTATCAGCCCGTAAAAGTTCACTGTTGGATGCACACATATTATGTACCTACAACCATTTTGTTGGTTGCAAATATGTGTGCGTGAGTGCGTGATCTTACAATAAGTTGAGCATGGTTTTGTCGTCACTTGAAATATGCATAGTGTTCTGTCCAACTTATTTGTTGGTCTGATATCCTAACAGAAAACAAACCGACACTTATATCTCTTTTCCAGACTTTACCGAATTGCGTTTAGGGATTTCTACCAATTTAAGCTCAATGTTTGCTGTATTACAAATAATACAAGCATTTAGTTGTATTTGCTGTAAATAACTGATATTGTAGTTAATTGTTGTGTGAATAGTACATAATTTATGTTTAAAACGATCAGTGTTTTGTGCGTGTGTAGATAGTAACTTGTAAATATAATGCATTGAGTTAGACAAGTAGCTGTCGGCGAAATAAATTATGAAATTTGTTTTGTTCAATTGTGTGGTTATTTAGTTGCCAATGTGTGGACACATCATTTGCTAATGTCATTTTTTAACACTCGAATTTTAATTTGATTAAATTACTTTAAAAAAATGTCAAGATATTAAACATATATTTGAGTTCAATTAGTATTTATGAATCGTTCATTTATCTAACCCTTGCTACATTTAATATACATTTTATAATCACCTTACGACCGAACACAAATATTTAAAATTATTTGAAAAAGACTACAAGAGACAACGAATTATTTTATTGAAAATTATGACATTATTAAAGTCTAAATTTTACGTTGACAGCAAATAATAGTATCACTGTCACATTAATTGGCTAATTTAATGTAAAATCGGTCAAATTGAGGTATCTATAAAATTGATAAACGGACATAAATTGACGGATTTACACGAGGACGAGTACGAGTTAAATCCATCAATTTAAAGTTCATATCAATATGATATTAGCAAAATTAAATAAATTTATGTCTCAGAAAAATTACCTCTAAGTTGTTTATTTTGTACTTAAATCAGCATTTTCTTTTTGTTTCATACTAACTAACGAATAGTGTAAATAATATTTAGTAAGATCTGTTTTAGAGAATTGACAGCATAGTAGAAAATGGCGCGATAGCGTTCGAAAATGAATCATAGCAATAAGCACCTTTATTGTAAAAATATAACGCTGATTTTCGTCAGTTGTAATAAAATAAAAATGTAATTAATGTTTTTTTAACCTAATTTATACACGTTCTGACAATTAGATCGAAATAATTTCGGTTAGTTTTAGGGAAAGTTATTATGAGTAATATTATAAATAACGCTATTATTAATGAGAAGGAATTTGTAATTATAATGAAAAAAGAGGTGTAATGAATTTCGATTTATAAAATTAATAAAAATTAACGAGTTTTATTTCGCTTTTTATTTTTAAATTAACCCTTACAAGACCCTATGAGATTAAAAGAATTTAGATTCTTAACACGTTTTCATTCAGGAAATACGTAAATGTTTTATTTAAATTTTAGTAATCTGATTATTTTAAAAAAAATTAAAAGTTTGGTATAAAATCTGCTATGTGATGGTCATTTTTTTTTAGTTTGTTGTCGTCTGTTGAACGGTGGGCTCTCCTAGAATGCGCCAAGTGGCATGGTGTATTTTTGATAGACCTATAGCCAGTGCCTGCATTGCATTGTTCCGGTTTGAAGTGTAGAGAAAGCCAATGTAATTACAGGTTGTGGGGCTGACTTTGTATCAGATAGACTTTTAATTTGTCTGTTAGATACTTCATTTCTATAGATTAGAATAGAAACATTTTTATCCAATATAACATACAGTACATAATACTTATTGAAAGTCATTATTTTACTTTTAACACTGGTTCGCAAAAAACCTCTGTCCTAGGAAGAACTAGAGAGAAACCCAGCGGGACTTTTATTTTTAAAAAAAAACACAATTTATAATATAATATTTTATACAACTGTTATGAAAACATTTAGAAACAGCATGGTAGCTATCACCTCATTCCCAGGAGTTATTATCAGTCATGTACTCTTTAGTGGTATAATAACCCTCACTAGACAATTTTTGCTTAATAAATAATTTAAACCTTTTGATAAATAGGACCTGCATATTTTCTGGGACTTTGTTGTAAAAGCGTATACATTGCCCCATGAAGGAATTACTGACTCTTTGGTGTCGAGTAACTGGTATAACTAACTTATGCTTGTTCCTAGTATTTACAGAATGTAGGTACATCACTATTTTTCAATAAAGTTATTTTTGTTTTGTGTACGTTCATTAAATTCTCGTAAATATATTGAGAGGCCAAAGTTAATATATTTATTTCTTTAAATATTTTCTAAGGGATTCCTTCGGACCTAGGTTATAAATTGCTCTTATGGCGGCTCTCTTTTGCAAAACAAAGATAGTTTCAATGTCAGTCGCATTACCTCATTGCAAGAATCCATATGACATTATGCTTTGGAAATTACTAAAATAAACTAATCTAGCTGTTTCAACACATGTAAGGCATCTAATCTTTTTTACAGCATATGCTGCAGAACTAAGTTTGCTAGCTAGTTTAGATATATGAGAAACTTTGCGACAACTGTAATTCCAAGAAAAACAAGGCCCAGCTCGTCTCCTTTTAAAAACACACTAGTATTATCCTGTTTAACATTAGGTGTGGTGAATTTAATACATTTCGTTTTATTACCGTTCAAAAGCCAATTATTGATGTTAAACCAGTGTACTACTTTTGATATAGCATTATTCACTTCGTCGTATATTTCAATAATTGCCTTATTAGTCAGAAAATCGACGAAGTATCATCAGCAAATAATACTATATCATGGTTATTCCCTACCAAGTAAGGTAAGTCATTAATATAAACTAAGAACAGAAAGGGACCAAGAACTAAACCCTGACGAACACCCATAGATACTACCGATCCGGAAGAACTGCATCAATTAATAACAACTGTTTGCGTTCTATTATTTAGATATGATATAATAAGTTTAAGCACTATGTTTTTTTACATCATAATGGTATAGCTTCCTGATATATGTCTCATGGTGAACACAGTCGAAAGCCTTGGAAAGATCACAAAATATACCCAAAGCATCTTCTGAATTTTCCCATGCACAGAAAATATGTTTGATTAGCTCAACATCGGCATCAGTTGTCGAGCGACCCGTTGCTGACTGTTATGGAGTTATTTATCTACGTTAAAAAAACTTACCTTTGATCTGGAATAATTTTTTCAAAAATTTTACTGCACGTTGGCAGTACAGAAATAGGTCTAAAATTAGCCGGGTCCAATGTACTGCCAGATTTAAATAAAGGTATAACTTTACTATGTTTTATTAAATCAGGAAACACACCAGATTCGGTACTAGCATTGAAAATAATAGCAATTTGGGGTGCGATCGCATCTATTATAGACGCAATAACTTTAACAGAAATCTCCCATAGATGTGCTATTTTCTTAATATCAATCGTTTTGAAATATTTTACAATATCACTTGATAATATTTTATGAAATACAAATTCTTTTTTACATACATTTACATTTTGTGTGAGTAATGACTCGGCGACAGCAGGGAAAAAATTGAGTGACTTTGTAGTCAAGATCGGAATGTCGGTAAAATATTGCTCAAAAGCCGTGACAACGTTTTGATCTGATTTCGTTAAAATGTTGTTAAAATTTAATTGAAAGCTTGAGTTGTGTAGTTTCATCTCGCCAGTTTCACTATTGATTATAGGTACTCCAAGTCACCTTAATTTTTAGAGGCATTCTTAATTTTGTTTCTTAAATGTAAATACTTGGATGTGCAACATATTCTTTTAAATACTTTGGAA